TATTTCAACAACACTTTCTTGCTCTTAAAGCTTCATACGCTAATTATAATTTCACATACACAGACGGTTCTAAAACCAAAGATGTTACAGGTTATGCAATCTCATCAGAAACAGAATTAATCCACTATGGGATTCTACCCCATTACTCCTCCGCATTTTCAGCCGAAATCATAGCAATCCAAAAAGCAATCGCAATCTATTTATTAAAACCCGGGAAACATGCAATATGTTCAGACTCACTTTCTTCCCTTATTGCCATAGCCAACTTCGACAACCACCATTACTATCCTACCACAATCAGATCAATATTGCAACACAAATTCCCTAAAATAAAACTTATTTGGGTACCTAGCCACAAGAATGTTACTGGAAACGAAACAGCAGATTCTTTTGCAAAACTGGCCACAGCTCTTCCTCTTATTTACACCCCCAACTACAATTCCTCCGACATAACCCTAGCTCTAAAAAATTATTTTACTCTAAAACAAGCGACTCGATTCAACCAAACATCCTATTGGTACCAGCAAAGCAACGCCGACAATTTATCTCTCCTTGACCTGCACAATAACAATCTGCAAAACCTCCTATCAAGAACAGAACAAATAAAACATAATAGAATTCGCCTTGGACATACCGCATTAACACACACACATTTCATGGACCAAACTCTATCTAAACACTGCCCTTTCGGCAATAACGCGCTAATAAACATTGCACATATCCTCACCTCATGCCCCACACTCCTATCATATAGATTATCTATTTTCCCAAACATTAACCTCATCACCTTAATTGCAAACCCATCAATATATAACTCCAAACTCATATTTAAATATTTAAAAGCCACAAACATTTACAACAAAATCTAAACCCAATTCTCTAACACTGTAAAATGTACATACAAAGTTAGCTGAAGGCCCTAGTAGCCAATAATTCTCTTCTGTTAGTTTTAAGATTTTAATCTTAAGCTAGCATTATATAAATAAATAAAATAAAAAAGTAAGAGAATTAAAAAAAATGTTTTTGATCGATTTTACCTTTCTCGGTATTCGAACTCACGTAAATGGTGTATAGTTTCACATTTACATAGCAATTGCGTCTGTGTGAGTGTATGTATGTATATGCTCGTATATTCGTATCTGAATAAACATGTTAGCAGTCAACCAAACAGCAACATCAACAACAGCCGCGGGCAGCGCTTGGGCAGCGCTGCAGCAGCACATATATTTATGGCTATAACTTCTTGTTAAATCGGTCTATCATAGTGAAACTTGGCATACGGACACATAATAAGTAACTGAAGGCATTTTCATTCGAATTTGCGTTCGAAATTCCAAGAATTACGGGAGTTAGAGAAAATCGCGATTTGCATGGGAGAGGGGGGTGGGAGGTAAATTCCGAAATACACATTTTCTGCGTATTCACATAAGGCATCTGGGACTAAAATTTGTTGTTCGTAGGTCTTATAGTCTCCGAGATATAGGCGATTATACGAATGGAAAATCGGGAAAACCCCCATAGGGGGGAAGTGGGGGGAAAAACAATTTTAGTCCAAGATGCCTTGTGTGAATACGCAGAAAATGTGTATTTTGAAATTTCCCTCCCTCCTCCCTCTCACCCGCAAATGCGATTTTCTCTAACTCCCGTAATTCTTGGAATTTCGAACTAATATCTTGCAAATACCACCAGTTAGTAATTATGTGTCCGTATGCCAAGTTTCATCATGATAGACCGATTTAACAAGAAGTTATAGCCATAAATATATTTGCTACTGCAGCGCTGCGCAAGCGCTTCCCGCGGCTGTTGTTGATGCTGCTGCTTTAGTTGACTGTGAACATGTTTACACAGACACGAATATACGAGCATATACATACATACACTCACATAGACGCAATTGCTTTGTAATAGTGCAATTATACACCCTTTACGTGAGTTCGAATACCAAAAGAGGTAAAATCGATCAAATTTTTTTTTTAAATTCTCTTACTGTGTTTAATTTCTGTAATTATTATTATATAAACATATGTGCGGAGTATTTCAAAGCTTTTTTACTTGTTTTTCTACCTACCATCGGAACGCAACTCTGCTTTGCGACCGCAGTTGGTACTATGCATGGTATGTATGCATGTGTTAAATATTTTATATTTAATTTAATTAATTTTTTTAATTTTCCTTTTTTGTGGAGAGTACAGGGTATTTTACTATCGGGTTTGCTCTACTGTAGCGTTCTATCTTGTTTTTAACAGGAGAGCTTTTCGGGCTTATCGATATCGGTGCTGATGTGGCAACTCTATAAGTGCAATAGATAAAAACAAAAGTTTCTATCTCTTACCTATAATATTATGTATTTCGAATGTTGGAAATGCGGGACGCGTTTGATGCTTTTCGGGACTATTTTATTCGATTATTAACTGCGGGACAACAACTGTCAATGCGGGACTGTCCCACACAATGCGGAACGGTTGTGTGGGACTTATTGTCGGAAGTCTCTCGAGGTACAAGGTATTTCACTGTCATGCTTGTTCCACTGTAGCGATCTCTCTTGCTTATGTTTGTAAACATTGTGGCTTGGTCCTATAATACAGCAACTATCATTCAGGGTAACTTCGATGAAAATGGCTTGATGACTTGGAGCATTCCCATTTTTGCATAAGCAGGCCAACCACTCGCCAATTTGTTCGGCAGCACAAATGCATTTGCCCACTAACGTGGCGAACATGGCCCGCGACCACCATTTGCTAAAAAATTTCAGGAAGTGCCACGTTTAAATAGATGTGCGCAAAAGCTCGGTTTTCGCCTTGATGGCAATTCAAATATGCATATTGAAACAAAATGAGTAAATTTTCCCATGCTTTTTGCGCAAATGTTAATTTTTATAATCTTTAGCCTTATTTTTCTATAATGATGGCTCAGTTTGGGGCATTCAATGATTTTGAGCATAAATTCTTTGCTCATTTGGCATCTCTGTATTTCCCAAATATTTTTTACAAATGATGTTCGAGGAGCAATGCCATGCCCTGTCGAACATGTTCGCTGGCACAGCCGCAAGATAAAAACATTTCTATTCTTCGCAAACAAAACGTCAAATACTTTAATTTAATCCGAACCACTAATGTCGAACACTTGGTCAAACACAATTATAAAAATTACAAATATTAAGAAAAATTAAAAAAAAAATGTTGATCGATTTTACTCTTGGAATTCTAAGAATTACGGGAGTTACGATTTGTGGTGGAGATGGGGGAGGGAGGGAAATTCCAAAATACACATTTTCTGCGCATTCACATAAGGCACCTGGGACTAAAATTTGGTGTTCCTAGGTTATATGGTCTCTGAGATATAGGCCATTATACGAATCGAAAATCGGGAAAACGTACAAACAAAACAAACTCGTATAGCGTCTGCACATAAGGCATCTTTGTGCAAAATTTGGTGTCTCTATATCTTATACTCTCAGAGATCCAGGTGTTCATAAGGACGGACATACAGACAGGGCTAGTTCGACTCGTCTTGTCTGCTGATCAAGAATATTTATACTTTGTGGGGTCTGACACGCCTCCTTCTGTCTGTTACATTTTCAGCTCCCACATACCTAATATACTCTTTTACATTTCATGTACACTAATAAAAGGCTGGTCGGGGAGCATACCTGTGCCGAGCATAGTTGCATCTGATATTGGTTAGCCAGTAGCGACTATGAATGACCAAATACGAAGTGAATAGAATGTATATGTATGTATGTATGTACTTGGTTAGGTATCATATATTTGTTTTAATCAAGTCAATCAATCTATCTACCGGATAGTTTTGGAAAATCCTCAACAACCTGATCAGAAATATATTCCGAAATTATTTGCTGACCGTACTTAGAGAGTTGGTTGAAATGTTTATTTTTGACTTAATTTTTGGGGTTTAATATTACAAATAGAAAATTTATTATTTCTCAGTCACAATCATTAATTTTTTATAATAAAAATTACATGTTTAATGCATTTTTAAGTATAAAAAATAAAACAAAAATATATATGTTTATTTTGTGTGGATTTATCATCTTTTATGTAGATCACATTAAAGTTGTGTTAGATACATATGTATATCGCGCCGCCAGCAAGCGTTGCACCTTTAAAATTGTAGGGTTGGAACTTATAATTTATACTTTTGAACCCACCACACTTTGGCCTCTGCGTTTATTCTTTTTTAATATAAATTAATATATTTGAAGTACTAAAATTAAGCCTATAAGTGTATAGCTAGTATCTTAGTTTATATACAGATAATAAAAGCATTTACAGTTTAAAGTCTTCGTACGAGTATTAAAATTGTGCAATATTAGCTACAGAATGAAATACATTAGAGTTTTACCCTGAAAAAATAAGAAAAACGTTTTAAAAATCCTTATTGCATGCACAAAAAGCAGTTTTAGTTTGACATTGTGACCTCAGACCTTAATTATCCTAAGCAATGTTCTTATTTGCCCTTAATGTTGAATGGACTTAATAACTAAAATAGGTTCACTAAAGACTAACTGCTTAAATTTTGATGTGGTAATAAATAAAAATAGAAAGAATAAATGTATATGGAGACTTAATATTTTTCTGCGTTTGTCAAATATATATTACATACGTGGTACATGGTACAGAAATGTAATAATAAATAAAATATATATATATATATTAAATATATTTATAAAATATTTAAATATGCGCGGTAATATCGATTAAGCATATAGTTAACCGAATTGTGACAGTTCATACATTCATAATTCTGCTATATTTTTTTTTTGTAAATGCGTAAAAAGGTTCTTTTAAAATTGTATAACTTTTAGATATATTTGAAAGTATTATATATTTTTAAGAGTTATATATATATATATATATATATATATATATATATATATATATATATATATATATATATATATATATATATATATATATATATATATATATATATATATATATATATATATATATATATATATATTATATTATATTATGAGTATAGCCTAAGTATCCTATATTCTTGTTATATTGATTGTATCTGTTATAGACTCTCTTCTTAAAAGCTGCTTCGTATCATTTTCTACCTCAATTGGGGATATTCCTGCGCTTCGATCGTTTAAATAAGGAGTATCTTCTTCAATAATCTTTTCAAGTAATATATCACCAGAATTGCTAAGACCTGATGATAGATTACAAAAATTCAATTTCATTTCTGAACATTTTTTCGTGAACTAACCATTGCGCCCAATTATAGCTTCATTTGATATATTTTCTCCCAAGCAATTATTTACGATTGCAACATCAGTCGGTGAGCCGTTTCGAATATTCTTTTGAAGAGCAACAGCTTTGCGCGTATGTCGAGTTGTTAGTACTCCGGTCTCTACATCTCGTTCAAGGCGGTGACCTGTTACTTTGAAATTGTTTTTAAGAAGTAAAACAATTTATAATACCGACGAACCTGAACGAGATCTAGTCAGTTGACGTTGGACATAGTCCTCAAGATCTTCCTCCTCCTTTCGGCTTATTAAACAGTTTAAAATTAGAAGAAACAGGCCCAGCCCTAATGAAAATAAACCGGTACACGTTACTTCGTTCCACCATGCCGAACTTGAACCTGTTGAAAAAGTAAACATCAGGAATCATCAGCGATAAGAAATATTTAGATATCCTTACTAAAAACGTTCCAGGACATTGTTTCATCTGGGATTATACCTGCCCCACACAAAAAAACTCCAAAAACGATAAATACAATCCCTATATGATACATTCCAATACTGGTGACAACCTTTTAAAAAAGTTAATATAATTATGTTTTCGATTTAAAGGTTATGTTATTATTAACCTGGCTATCAAGCATACCGGGTCCAGGTTTTGACGAATGTTGTGAATGATGGTATTTCCGTCTTACAGATCCACTTGGCGAGTGAAAAGTTTCTCCACTCTCTGAACTTTGAGTACTGTAGCGCCGTTCTTTGGCTCGCTTTTGTTCATCACGTCGCTTCCTTTGGCGTTTTATTGCCATAGCGGAGTGGATACCAACCGAATGCATTTTTTTTTTTTTTGACTAAATAATGAAAGATATTCAGTCACGTTAATTTTTTAGTTAGAAAAATTCTTGCATTTTACTGCTGTGCACATACTGCTGTTTTTTGCAGTCACTTTTCGAAGCCTTTATTCTGTGACCTATTTTGTGGCCCTTGTTCTAAAAGCCACGCCCGACATGTCATATGCATTGTTTGACAATTCGTATTAAGGAGTATTACAGTAAATTTTTCATTGCTTAAATACTTTTGTCAGTCATAATTTAATCCAAATTGTTTTAAAAATCTCTTCTTATTTTCGTTTTAATACTTACGAGCGGCAAGCATTTCAACAGGTTCGATCTAAGAATCTACATTTTTTTTACCCGTGTTAGGGAGGTGCGACAAGAAAATGTTGTTTTTTAACTTGTATTTACTTACTTTATTTGAAATTCACGCAGGGATATTTCAATTGGAGAAGTTGAAAACTTTCGAAGACATACAAATAACCAAAAATTTGTTGCCTTTGTGTAAACGATTTAGAAACACGAATACCAGAAATTGCACTTCATATGTCTTTAAACAACTGAAAAAACTCCACTTCTTACCTTTATAACGCAATTTACTTGAATAAAGAAGTAGTGTAATTGTAAGTTAGATATCCATATTGTGCCATTTATGTATTTGAGTTAATCTGAATTGTTAAGATAGCGATATATGAAAATCTCAACCTAAAGAAAAAAGTTCTAAATTGTAATTTTTTATCGATTTTTTGCTTTTATCTAAAGTTTTTGTCCGTTGTTTAAGCGGTTTGTTGTATTTGGCTGCCGTATTCACCCGAAACTTGTTACTATTATTCAATTTTGTTTATGGAATATAAATTGATGTGACTGTATTTTTTAGATTATTAGTAAGTCTCACTACTCAAAATGCTATTATTGGACTAGTATAAAAATGTGTTGCCTGAAAAGAAAACATCCCCGTTCCCCGAACAAAACAGGACCGTGCAAATTGCAGACAAGTATCCTGCAGTGGTTTGTGCATAAACTTTATAAAATTGGACTGCGCAGGTCCATTATTAAGCTTTTAAAAAGCTTTTGAAATGGCGATATACACACTACCACTAATCATACAACATATGTATATACAACCTTGGATTCGGATTAAATTACCTTATTTTAAAACTTCCTAACATTTTTAGAAAATAGTTGTAATATTTGATATTAAGTCGATCCATGTGCCCAAAGTAAAACAAGTGGAGAAGATAAAGTCGGGTTTCCCAACTTTGAAATACTCTGTACATATGTTTGAAATAATTATAGAAATTAACAAAATTAAAAAAAAAAAAAAAAAAAAAACAAGAGAGAACGCTTCAGTCGAGCAAGCCCGACAGTGAAATACCCTGTACCCAGTTAAACTTCCGACACTGAGCTATATGCGCCTCTAGCGGAAGCAAAATGAAGAAAAAGAGCGAACTTCATGCTGCAGTTTGTGGGCGTAGTACCGGACTGAAATTCTTACGCTAATAACTTTTCTTAGAATTAACCGATTTAGATGAAAATGAAACAAAAGTAGATAATTATATAGAAATTAAGTGTGCACAGTTTGATTGGGGTAGCTCTTGAAATGTGGACGGTATTAATGAAATTCTGTAGTGGGGAAAGGGGGGAAAATTAAAAAAAAAAAATAAAATAAACGTCCTTTCTCGGACCTAGGAGAATCATCGGTTATTCTAGCTTTTATAGTTTCTGAGATCCTTGCGTTCATCGATTTCTCTCGTCATACTGGTTCAGAATATGTATACTTTATATGGTCGGAGATGCTTCCTTCTGCATGTTACATACTTTGCACAACCCTAATATACCCTTTTTATCCTACGGGTACAGGGTATAAAGAGTGATCGATTTTACCTCTCTCGATATTCGAACTCACGGCAAGGACGTATAATTGAACATTTACAAAGCAATTGCGCCTATGTGAGTGTATGCATGTCTACGCGGGTCGTGTGTTTGCAGTCAACCAAAGCACCAACAACAACAACAACAGCTGCGGGAATAATAAAACAAACTTGCACAGCGTACACACATAAGTCATCTTTGTGCAAAATTTGGTATCGCTAGCTATTATAGTCTCTGAGATCCAGGTGTTCCTATGGACAGACAGACGGACAGTCGGAGAGACGGACAGACAGAGCTAGATCGACTCGTTTCGTCATGGGGTCTGCCACGCCTCCTTCTCCCTGTCACTTTTTTCATCTCCCGCTAACCTTATATACTCTTATACATTTAATGTACAGAGTATAATAATTTGTCCACTTTGTAGCCTCTGTGTAAGTCGGTTCTCCCCTACTCAGCATGGTTTTATCAAATATCGGTCAACATCAAATTTGCTGGAATTTACATCATTGATAAATGATGCATTCCTAGCTAAAATGCAAGCTGATGTTATTTATACTGACTTCAGTAAGGCATTTGATTCAGTGAATCACGACCTACTCCTGTTGAAGCTTGATCGTATTGGTTTTCTTTCAAATTTTTATATCCTGTACCCAAAGCGTGAAAGGCTATACTAGTTTTGTGCGAATGTATGTAACAGGCAGAAGCAGACCCAACAAAGTATATATTCTTGATTAGGGTGACAATTCGAGTCGATATAGCCATGTCCGTCTGTCCGTCCGTCCGTCCTCAGGATGTACAACACCTAGAATAACCAACCTTGGTATCGAGGTTCCCCTAAGTCCTAGGCAGATGAAGATTATTTTTTTATTCTGATACACCCCCCCCCCCCCACTCCACCGCAATTCGTGCCTTTTTTTTAATAACTTCCGGAATTTTGAAATTAATGAAAATCATTTAAAATTTTGGTAGTTACATTCAGTTAGTGCTTATGTGTCCGTATGACAAGTTTCATCATGATAGGTCAATTCTCAAGAAAGTTATAGCCATAAATAAAATCGCTGTCCATGCTCTGCCTGTAGTTCTGCCGGCAGTTGTTGTTGTTGTTGCTTCTTTGGTTCAACTTTGTGCTGCATACATTATGTATGTTCGCATATAAACACGCATAGACACGTGATGTAAATGTATGATGTTAAAACTGAACATAAACATGTCTTCTATGTGTGTATTAAATACATTTTTTTTTATTAATTTAATTAAATTATTCAATTTTTTAAAATAATTAAATTTTATTTAGATATATTTTATTTTTTATTTTATATATTTTTTTTAATTTTCCTTTTTTGTGGAGGGTACTGGTTTTACTGTCGGGCTTGCTCGACTGTAGCGTTCTATCTTGTTTGCTTTGGATTTCGTCTTATCTTAAAAATAGGACCCAGAGAGACTGCTCAGATCGGATATTTCTCAACCAGTTCCTGTACCTTCGGGTATACCTCAAGGTTGTCATCTTGGCCCATTGTTATTCACTCTTTTTATAAATAACATTCCTCCTATCCCGTTACATTCTCACATAATGATGTAAGCTGATGATGTGACGCTCATCCTATATTACAACGATCCGCTCTTCCACGCTCGTTTGCAGGATGATCTGAACTGAATGCAGAGATAATTAATAATCCCTAGTTTACTGATAAACTACTTTACAATTCACTGGTACGGCCTATTCTAGAATACTGCTCATGCGTTTGGTGTCCGCAGTACAAATCGCACCAGGATCGAATTGAGTCTGTTCAGAAACAATTCCTCCTTTTTGCTCTTCGAGGTTTAAACTGGGATCCCAACTTTCGTTTGCCGCCTTACTCGAGCACACTTCTGCTTATTAATCTTCCTTCATTGGCTAATCGGAGGGCTGTCCTTGGAGCTGTATTTCTCCAAACTGATTGCCGGTAGTGTCGATTCTCCTTTCCTATTAATTTTAATTTCTCAGTTCCTTCTAGAACGACATCACACAATTCTTTTTCGGGTTTTATGCTCAACTTATAATAATTATTTTCACCTGCTCTCAAACGAACTGTCTCTTCCTTTAATAAGAGCCTCTCTTTTTAGCCACCCCCGGAATCTCTGACCAGGAACGGCTGTGAGACGGAGCATAGCTTGCCGGACTGGCTAATAAGTCTTCCCCCACCGGGTCTGAGATTCCATTTTATTTTATTTTTATACACTGTACCCAAAGGGTGAAAAGGTATACTAGTTTTGTGCGAATGTATATAACAGGCAGAATGAGGAGTGGCAGACCATACAAAGATAATATATTTTTTTGAGAAGGGTGACAAACGGAGTCGATATAGTCATGTCCGTCTGTCCGTCCGTCTTTCCGAACGCAAGGATCTCAGATGATATAATTACCAAACATGGTATCCAAGTGCCTATAAGCCCTAGGCAGGTCAAGTTTGTTTTTTTTATTCCGATACACCCCCCACCCCCGCTATTCGTGTTTTTCCCATAACTCCCGTAATTCTTGGAATTTCGAATTCAAATTTGGTAATTACATCCAGTTAGTGATTTGTGTCCGTATGTTAAGTTTCATCAGGATTGGTCAATTCTGAATAAAGTCATAGCCATAAATAAAATCGCTGCTCATTTTCTGTTGTAGCTCTACCCGCAGATGTTGTTGTTGCTGCTTTGATTCACCTTTGTGCAGCATACATACACAAGCAGAGACACGATTCTGATGTAAATGTATGCTGTATATATGTATTTGTATATATGTATTGAATAATTTGTATTTTATTTAATTAAATAATTTATTTAAAAACATTTATTTTTAAATTAATCAACATATTTTTTGTTTTCATTTTTTCCTTTTTCGTGGGAGGTACAGGGTTTTTAAGAGTTAAGCCTGCTCGACTTCAGCATTCCTTTCTTGTTCTTTTTTTATACCCGTAGATAGATCTATTGACCTCTCTGACCACACTTAGCTGTGAGACGGTGCACAGCTAGCCGAAAGGCAAATAATATTCCCCCACCGAGTCGGAGTTAATTAGATATTATTGTAATGTGATTAGATTTCTTCTTAGGCTTTTCTAGCTTATAAGATGCTGTTCCAGACGTGCTCCGGAGGGGTCTTCGATCCACTTGATATGTTTTTTGTTGAGCCGATTTGGCGCTGCTGTACCTTTCCCAAATAATTTAAGGTTCGCCAAGGTTGATTGTGTGTATGTGTGTATATTTGTATGTTATGTGTCGTGCGTGCCGAAATGACTGATACCATGCAAGTCCGAAATGCGAGTGCCTTGTTACAAAAAAGGGCATAGCTAATAATGCGTTATGCCGCTATGAGTGCGTTTGTTCTCTTTCGCAGAAGAGTTGAGTGAAAACATAAGTAAAAAACAAACGTAAATAAAGTTGCCAGATGGGCTACTTAACAAAAGTGAGTGATGTTACTTTACATATCAAATAGCGCTTATATTATTGTGTTGTCCTCCAACATCCTCCCCCCTTGAAAGGATCTACTTTCAAAAGTGAGAATTCGGTAACGGTGCGATCTTGTGAATAGGTCGACGAAAGG